ATGCTCATATAACAACTTAGCATCATGCATCATCGATCATAATAATGAATAACTCATCATTGGTATCATAATAACAAGTCATACTCATCATCATCGATCATACAACTTCTACTCGATACCACATCATCATCATAGTCATCTAACCAATCCTACTTAGTTGTTCTTAGCACATGATCATGAGTATTATTAACTAGGACCTACTACCTTCTCTTAGGTAAAATAGCATAAACCAAGATAGGCCCTGACTCTCCATTATGAAGAATGGAGATTATCCTGTCTCCAATTCTTGCCTTTCGCACAATATTGCTTCCAAGTACGTCCTTACGACTGTCCTTACATTTTTTTCCATTCTTTGATTTTCATGTCTTCATTGGTTTTGGAAGTCCGATATGGACAGGTGTGGTTCGTAGGATGACCTGGCTGTATGTTCAAAACATCAAGGCGACCATTCTGATACATCAGATGAGGCACACAATCCTTCGGAATTTTCTGTTGAAAAAATAGTAATAACTTCGTAGTTAGCAATGTAGTTAAGTTTTAAAAGAATTTATGCAAAAGATGCACGGATGTCGTAATAGTAAAAAATCTTACCATGGCATCTGCATGGATGTTACCGTAGTTCAACGCGTGCACTAGTGGCACGCATTGACCATAATATGGAGGAGTTTTATAATAGTTATTGTAATTCTCAAGATCAGTACAAAATGCGACCAGATGACTTTTCTCCTGATAAGTTAACTCAGAGCCATCGGTGTAGTAGGTTCTGTCTACCATCTTCCGCACATTGTTTGAAGAATGAAAATAAGCTGTCAATGGAAATAAGCTGTCGACTGTTTCGAAATAAACAATATAAATTAGTTAATAACTATGTTTGAGAAATTCACATAGCGGTAGAAATGGAAGCGTATCAACAAGGACCCAAATGTCCATATTGTCTTGGTCGATGTCAGGATCACCAAGATCCATGGTGACAAGCATACCCTCATAAAAACCATACATCTTGCAAAGTGCTTCCCAATTTGTGCAACCAAAATGGGTTACGGTCTCAGAATTGTACAGATTTACTTCGAAATCCATACCATGGTGGGTCCTTAGGTGAATTTTCTTTGTTTCGAAATTTTCATGGTCTTCAAAATCCATCCTCTCCAAGACATAGCGTCTTGCATGGTATGGGATAAGCTACTCGAATTGTAAAAGATGAAAATTATACGTTGAAATAGTTGAAGTCATGCTTAATTATGAAAAAAACACTTGTCGGTGTTGCGTACCGTTTCAACATCAAAGGTCTCCTGGAGCTTAATACTGAAGCGCCGACCTTCGTCCAGGTGAGGCCTGTCACACTGACCCCGGTCATTGTTGCACCAGTCGCACTCCCCCGGGAGACTTTCTTCGTCCGATAACGACATTTCCTAGGTTCATAATTCAAAGATTAAACTTGTACAATTCAATATATGTACTACAAAAACTAAATTAGATCATTATTATCCATCACGGGTTGACTATCGGTCTGTCGAGTCTTTTTCTTGAAAACTCTCAGCTCGCGTGGTGTATACATTCGACCGTTGGTGATGATCGCTCCTCCTTTCACCCCCGAATGCATTACACCAAATTGTCTAGCACATGGGAACGAAGGAGAAGCGACCCCCACGACAACAGTCGAGATGTTTCGTCCTCTCATATGTGGTGGAGACTCTCACTCACTGATTCCTCTCTGACATTTGCGACCGTCGGTGATGGTCGTTACTCCTCCTTCCCCTAGTGCATAACAAAGGTCTAGCACACGGAGAAGAAGGAGAAACGACCCCCACAACAACAGTCGGGCTTCTTCGTCCTATCTCATATATGGTGGATACACTCCCTCACTAATTCTTCAACCTTCGGTGATGGAGCCTCGACAGATTTAAAGTCAACCCGAAATGTCCTTTAATTATTTTTCGAGAAAATCCAGGCCACTCGATATTTCCTACATATTCTAGCACAAGTCATGCCAGAATTCACGAAAAAATCCGGCATGACCTTTGCTAAAAAAAGGACATATCAAGTGTCTGAAATTTGCCGGAGCGGAAATTAATCAACACTCCGGCAAAACATAGGCCACTATAGGAGGTGTAACCTGCAAACATGGCCGGCCAGTTGGGCAAGCACATATCCTATTTGAGCAACACAAGATAAACATGTTTATATCTGTTTGAGCATTCAAACTTGATGGAGTAGTTTTCCAATTTGAGCATTCAATAAGCAAAACCAAATCATAAAATAAATTAGTATTCAAATTAGCATTCATTCAATAAGCAAAACTAAATCATCTCTTTCGTCCGTACATCGTCAAATATTATCACTAGTAGATCTCGAATAGTATCATACATATAACATCACTAATACAGCTAAAACCGTAGCGAACGACGGGTATCGGCGCGGGCGGTGGAAACCCAAAGAGAAGGAACCATCACAGGATCATAGCTCCAGTGAGATCCCTGAAGAACCTCCCAGGTACTGGAGAACCTGCCCTCCAACGCAACCATGTAGTGATGGATGTGCTCGTCCTCCTCGCTGACACGGTGACGTACCACCTCCGCGGGGTCCTCAAGCCTTCGCATCGCCACTGGCCCATGCGACCGCCACCAAAGAAGGTTCAGGTCAACGACGGGCTGGCTCCTCACCAAGCTACGCCCCCCGGAAGGTAGCACCTCACAGTACCGGCCCAGCGGAGCCCAGTCCCGGATATGGATGCTCACCAAGCCCAGGCCTCCTCCGCCGAGTCGACGACGGGGATGCGGGATAGGCATCGTCGACGTGATGTGGGAATAATTGCTTTAACTAAAAAAATAACAACAAATGTGACACCTAAAACACCTAAATTATATTAACTACACCTAATAAAAAACCTACATTTTGAACATGATTCGATCATAACTAGGGTTCATACTACATTATTCTAACATTAAACACCTAAAATACCTAAATTAAATTAACAATATGGGGTGGCTGGTCTC